AGAAAAAAAAAAAAAAAAAAAAAAAAAAAAAAAAAAAAAAAAAAAAAACCACAAAAAGACGGCGCATAGCTAGCTGGCTCGTATATATATATATATATATATATATATATATATATATATATTGGTTTTTTTTTGAGAAGGACCAATATATGTTTTAAGTTAAAAAAAAACGTGTAGTCAAAATTCAAAACATACATGTCGATTTATGTGACAAAAATCGACATCAACATCTTGATGTCAATTTTTCGCCAAAAAATCAACATCAATTTTCGCCAGAACTAAACATCTAGATTTTTTTTGTCAAAATATCGACATCTAAATATCGATTTTTCACCCAAAATTGAACATGTATGGGTCGAATTTTCCTCCTCTTCTTTTTCTTCTTCATCGACGACGGTGTGCGGTGTTCCTTCGGCGGCGATTCTTTGTTCATCCTCTCTTTTTTAGGTCTAACTAGTTTTTTTTTTTATTGTTTGAATTTTGTGCTATTGAAATAAGGAAATTAGGGAAAATATAATGAAATAAGAATATATTGTGATAAGGCCTATATTAGTAATTTAAAGTCCTTCTCTTAGTAAGTTTGTTTATATTATGGTCTTCCCCCAAGTAAGGTCTTGTCTTTAAAAAAGTTGAGATTGCAAATATTCGTTGCCTTTTCAAATAAAGGGTAAATTATTCAGAATTATTCTCTCTCTCTCTCTCTCTCTGTCTTTTATATATACTAACATTTTCCCCCCGTGCACGGGAATATATTTAAATAGTTTTTTAAAAAAAAAAAATTAATCAATTTAATGCATAATAAGAAAATATAGTACACTAATATAGTAAAATTTAATAATGTAGTATTATTTATATTTTATATAAAATTAGTTTTTTTAAAACCTTACATACTAAGATATATAATCCAAATAAATAGACTAAGATTTAACACATCGAATTTCTAGCTTTAACTCTTAAGATTTGAATATGTTGATGAAAAATAGGAGATTAATAATTGTTGAAAATTATAGTTAAAAAATTTGTACAGAAAAAATATTAAAAATAAATAATTACATAAGTAACAATAAGGTAGGATTCTTAAGGTAGAATTCTTCACGGGTTAGTTTTAATTGTGACAATTGTTAAAAATCATAGTTAGAAATTAGTAGAGAAAAAATATTAAAAATAAATAATTATAGAAATACCATTAGAGTTTTTTACGGTTGCACAATGTTTCTTTCTTTTATATATATATATAGTCGGGATAATCGGGGTGAGCCGACAGCTGAAAAAACATTAAATACGTCGTTTGAATTCCTCTACACAAATAGGCTGGCCCGAGAACCGAGTCATCGTAATGGTGTTGATTGGCTTTGTGAGGCATGCAGTTATAGAGACAGGCGTGCTGCAGACGGTTCAAGTGATCTTGATGTGTCAACATGTCATTAGTCGCCAGACTGGCCATGCCGCTCTAATTGGGGCAGCCGAAGCGGCGTATGACATAGGATGTACACGTCTCATCGTGCGGCTAACCTAGATCTAAACAGAGTTCCTACAGGCTACAAGTATCTCCGCTCGTGATTTAAATTCTTTTTGCATCCTCTTCCTTACGCCCTAGTTTTCTCTGCAACTTCCGAACCCATCTATGCTCATCCGACGGCACGCACATGACCGTTTATCATCAAATAACCTCTCTTTTTTATTAAATTAAATTTAGCCTCATTAAAATAAAAAAAATTCTCTAAATAAGAATATAAGAGGAAATGGTTAGAAATATAAATTATAAATAATTACCTAAAATATATTTACATTAAAATACCCCTCTTAGTTTGTAAAATTGAAAGGGTAAAATTGAAATTATTGGACGAATAATTTGAAATCTAAGAGCATTCACAGTGGACTCTCTAGAGGCATTGTGAGTGTCAGATTTTTAACCCTCTCTAAAATTTGGAGAGAGTGGTGCTGCAATGGTGAAATGTGCCGCTCTTTGTGACTCTCCAAATTTGGAGAATTGCTAGATACCTCGCCACAGTTAGCAGTGGTTTAAGGAGCATATGGTGGGACCATGTGTTCCCTTCTCATTTTTTATTATTTTCTTATTTTTCATTTATATTATTTTAAATAATAACAATAATAATTTTATAAAAATAACGAGCTTTGTCAATCAGTGTATTAAAAATATGATAATTTTAATAAACTTTGTAATATTTTAATAAAATGAAATCAAGATTTAAAAATTAATTTATATATATAAAAATAAACAAACTAATGCAACTCATAACATAATTAAACATAATAAAATATTAGATAAGATAGCATGATTTAAAATTTAAATTAATCAAGAGTTATATGATTTATTAATTAGAATATATAAATTTCAATTTATTTTTAATTTATTTTTTTAATTTTAATAATGAATATTTTATTATAATTTAATATTTAGAGAGCTATTTCATTGGAACAAAAAATAATTTGGAGACTGTATAAGTGGGACCCAAGTCTTAGAGAAGTGTTAAGGAGGATAAATATGAATATGTGGCATGTGGACCCCATAGTTTGGAGAGTGTATTTGGAGAGCCCCACTATGGATGCTCTAAGACATTATGTTATCTCTAACTTGGCAGCGAACTTCTTAAAATTGATAACGAACTTCTGGAGATTGAAATTGAACTTCGACGGATCTGGTGCTCATTGCTCACTTTCACAATATGTTCCGCACTGTTCCCATAAACTTTTAGCTAACAAAATACGGGATATTTTTTTAAAAATGAAGGACCGATAGTCTTTTATCGAAATAAAAAAAAATTGTGTCCATATTGTCAACAAATTATATTCAAGACAAATTTTAGAATATTCCCAAAAAATAAAAGGTAATTATGGTCACCCTCCCGATGTAAGGTAAATTATGATTAAATATGAAACCTTTATATTTGGGTAATTATAACCATCTCATCAACTATGAATCTTCTTGCATATCTATCCTTATCGTGTCAACAAAATCTTCTAAATTTCGTATAATGTTCTCTAGTTTGTACACGTTTTGTGCAAAAATACAGGTTTTGATTTACCGTAATATGATATTTACAAGTCAAAAGACATATCTTATGATCATCTTGTTTCAAAATTGTGGAATTGGAATATGTAAAACGAATACACACTGGAAAATATTCCACATAATGTAGAATAAATCCACTAAATTTGACATTGCAAAAAGTGAGTGTAAAAAGATTCATAGTTGAGAGGGTGATTGTAATTATGCAAACATAAATAATTTTTTCGTAATTTTACATCAGGTGTGACCGTAATTTACTCATAGGTACAATACATAAAAGTGGTTTGGAACTAGGGGTGTGAACGAGCTCGAGCTTTTGTCGAGTTCAAGCTCGTCGAGTTCCTTCTTGGCTCGAGCTCGAGCTCGAGTTCGAACCCAATCTCATTTTGTTGTTTTTCTTTTTCTTTTTTTAAAATATTTTTTTTAGTTATTATTTTATTATTGTTAAAAATTATTTAAAAATTTATAAAACAAACAATAAATTGTAATTATATATATATATTTTAATATTTATATTTTATTTTTATTTATTTTTATATTATTATACATTATTTAAATAAAAAATAATATATAAAAAGTAAAATAAATAATAAAAATAAAAGTAAGCCTCGCGAGCCGGCTTGTGATCTCACAACAACTAAAAGTTGACTCGAACTCGGCTCATCAGAAAGCTCGAGCTCGAAAAACTCGAGTACGAATTCGAGCTTTTTTTGAGCCGGCTCATCGAACTCACAAGTCGGCTCGGCTCGTTTACCTCCCCTATTTGGAACCCTTTCTGCAATGAAAAATATGAATTTTTAAATTAAAGTGAATTTAAAAATAAATTAATCACATGCCTCACATCCAGACAACAAAACAAGGAGTTGGTGACAGAAGAAGAGAAATCCACCTTTTAGTACAGCAAAATACATCAAATCGAATCGTAACAATGGCGAAACTCGAACAGAATGCAGAAAACGAAACAACATTGAAGCAGCAAACGAAGAAGAAAACAGCCGTAAAGAGGAACCATGGATCGCCATCATTCTTCGTATTTGTGGATTACCTTTTCTTGGGGATCTTCTTCTGTTTCCTCTCCTTCCTTCTCTACAAATTGATCGGTTTTTGATTCAATACGGTACCGTTTCGAACACCCATTTACTCACTCTCCCTTTTCTTTGCCCTAATCTACAATGTTTTTTTTTTTCTCTCACTCAAATTCCCCATTTGTGTATCTACAAAATTGATCATTGTGTACTAATATAAAAATCATATTGTGGCTTTTGATTTTATATATTGCATATACAATTAGGTTGATTGGGAGTGATAGGTATGAATTGTTAGAAATGAAACAATAGATTTTTTTGAATGTATTCTTAAATTGGATCTGACAATTTTGAGGTTCTATAAGCATTTGAAGCAATTTTTTTAATTAAAATATCTCAAGATTCGGATGATCGTTCGATAGCTGCTTAATAATAATGCATAGGCAGTTTCCGGTTGACGAGTTAAACACGAAAGACTAATTATTTGTATGAGAAATGTTGTGCGAGTTATTCATACAGTGTCTAAAATGTAGGATTGTAATTCAACAAGAACTTGTGTTTATGTGACCGTATTATGTCGAATGGATAAAAATAAAAGAATTACGACTGCCTTTTAAACGTGAATTCAAACACCTTAGGAAGTATGTCGAAATAGTCAAATTGAATTTGGTCGGCACATCTTTGTATTGGGATCGTTTGCAGCATTTATTTTGTTTAACTTGTTCATATAATAATGCATTTGTATTTTGTATCCTTGCCATATACTTTGATCTGATATTATTGTCTACACTTGTTTATTTAGACTTTGATGTAATTTTATTACAAGAAAACGAATCTGTTTGTCTACACTTTTTTTATTTAGAGAGAAAACATATTATGAGAAGCACCTACCCTCAAGCATAACCCAAATTTGAAAGAACTTAATCTGTTGAAACTACATTACTACATTGCCCTGTTTTTTAATCTGTTAACTAACCTTCGGTTTTGTTTTCCGTGCAGGGTAGTTATTAGTTACATGGGGGGGCGCATCCCATCTTGGCTCGAGTACTTAAACAGTGATTCACAGGCATGCCGTTAATTTTTCGTTATTTTGGATAATGTCATGCTCAAAGTAAACTCTTGCATTTTTTTTTCTCACTGGTTATATTTATTTTTGTGTAGAATGTATCCTTTTTGACAAAATATTGGACTTTTTTCAGTATTTTTTTTTTTAATTTTTCGTTTGTACAAGTGCGCTCTATGTTTGATGAATTGTCTGAATCCCACTTTTATCATTTATGCTCAGTCCATTTTTGCAGTTCTATGAATTTATTTCCTAGATAGTAGTTTTAGTACACCAGATGATCGATTATCCGGTTCTAAATATAAGACCAAAAGAACTTCAACTCTTCCAAACGTATGTTACTGGTTGGTTGGAAATCCCGTTTTGGTGGAACGCGTTTAACATGCATATGGTGTTAATGCTGATGTTTGCTTAGTATATGATTATGGAACATGCCATATCTCATATACTACTACACTATAATACTATGCTGGATTAAGTACACCGAATATTCCATTACAATTCATATCAGTGTATGATTCTCCGAGTTTTGTGTAGATTTAATCCTATTTATTGTACTTGTAAAAGAAATAACGTATACTTGATAAAAAAAAAAAAAAAAAAAAAAAAAAAAAAAAAAAAAAAACACTAAGTAAAATTCAAAGGTTGCAAAAAAGCTAGATTTTCTTTATTGATAGCAAACAAGGTACAACTAGAATAGCAGATACTGAAACATAAAAATGGCATCTCAAAGACTGAAAATTTAAGAAAGCACACAATTTCCACCATAGTTGTTATTTGACTTGAAAAATTAAACCTAAGCAAACTCAATTGCCGGATGGTGTAGGAACCCTGCTGCCACCATTAGGGTTTGGCACTTCCACTCCGGGGTTGGGCAAAAGCGTGTCGTCACCGCCAGGAACATAGCTGCGGGGGCTTCCACCCCCTGCCGGATCACCACCACCAACTCCGGGGATCGAAACACCGTTTCCATTTGGGGCACCTGTGATGGGGTCGTAGTTGAAGTTGAAGTGGGACCCTTTTGGAGGTAACATCACTCGGCCGATGCCTGGAATCAACACTGATCGATCGAAATGTCCAAACCACTCGGGCTGCAGCTTGGCATCGGCCGGGATGTTTCGTGCTTCAACGGTAGCATGATGTACTACTAGATAGATTGACAAGAAGACAACAAAACCGAGAAATGCTCGGCTATGGAAAGCCATATCGACTTAGATTAATGTGGAGGCAAAGATAAGGAGAATGTATTACGGAGATTGATGATGATCAGTTGCTTGGTGATAGTGGAAATGTGTGAAGGGTTTTTTATACTTGAATTTTTGTGACAGTGTTTTGGCGGTGAGTTAATAGATTGTGTGATGTAGAGAGTATTTATTTGCAGGAGTACGTTGGTTTTGCATGCTGAAACATAGTGGTTGCACATTTAAGGGAGAATAATTAATGAACCTTTTTCACAAACCAAGAATGAACGGCTAATCAATTCTTTATATTCTTCCTAGGGTTAATATGCTAGAGGTCCCTAGTTGGATCTGACAATTTTGAGATTCGATAAGCACTTGAAGCAAATTTTTTACTTCAAATATCTCAAGATCCGAATGGTCCTGCGATGGGCAGTTTTCAGTTGACGAGTTGAACACGAAAGACTAATTATTTTTCTGAGAAATGGTTTGCGAGTTATTCATACAGAGTCTAAAATGTAGGATCACTAAAAAATCGGGTAATTCAACAAGAACTTGTGTTTATGTGACGGTAATTCTGTATTTTTTTTATCCTATTCCTTACGATATACCTTCGTGATCTGAGAGTATGCCTACACTAGTCTATTTACAACTATTACATGAAATGACTCTGTTTGTACACAAATGCAACCGAATTGGAGAAAGTGGATTATTACGGAACGAGCAATTTTGCACTTTGAGACTTTCTTGGCTTATTGTGATAAGCAGCTGACGTTAATTCCATTTATACTTATAATTCGTTAATTCCATTTGTGATAAGCGTCTTATTTAAAAGCCAGCTACTTATCTTTAGCATAGCGCTCTGCTGAAACTACACTGCTCTGTCTTTTAATCTGCTATCTGTTAACTAACCTTCGGTTTTGTTTTCCTTGCCATATATTTGCAGGATAGCTATTTGTTACATGGGTGGGCATTCGATCTTGGCTCAAGTACTTAAACAGTGCTTCACAGGCATGCCGTTAATTTTTCGTTATTTTGGATAATGGCATGCTCAAAGCGAACTCTTGCATTTATTTTTGTGTAGAATGAATCATTTTTGACAAAATATTGTACTGTTTTACTTTTTTTTTTTTTTGTAAAGTTTTGACTTGAATCTACAAACATGCACTGCTCCATCCAGTATCTATATATTTTTATTCATCTATTAGATAAACTGTACTATACTAGATACTAAACTGCAATTCATGTTAAAAAAAGTCGGTGTACAGAGTACAATTCTCCTTTTTTTTGTATAGGTATGACCCGATTTATTGTGTACTTGCAAAAGAAATAACATATACATACAGTCGATCAAAAACTAATGTAGCAAGCATACTTGAAACATGAAACACTAAGTTTTAAAGGATGCAAAAAAGCTAGATTCTCTTTATTGATAGCGAACACAGTACAACTAGAATATATAGCAAATACTGAAACATACATACAATCTCAAAGACTGAAAATAAAGCACACAATTTCAACCATAGTTACTTAATTATTTTACTTGAAAAAAAAAATCCAGCTAATTAATAAGATAAGTCATTAATGGCCAGATGGTGTAGGAACCCTGCTGCCAGTGCCACCACTAGGGTTTGGCACCTCCACTCCGGGGTTGGGCAAAAGCGTGTCGTCACCGCCAGGAACATAGTTGCGGGGGCTTCCGCTCCCTGCCGGATCACCACCACCAACTCTGGGGATGGAAACACCGTTGCCATTTGGGGAACCGGTAATGGGGTTGTAGTTGAAGTTGAGGTGGGACCCTTTTGGAGGTAACATCACTCGGCCGATGCCTGGGATCAACACTGATCGATCGTAATGTCCGAACCACTCGGGCTCCAGCTTGGCATCGGCCGGGATATTTCGTGCTCCGACACTAGTATGAACTACTAGTGCAAGAGAGACGGACAAGAAGACCATAAGACTGAGAAATGCTCGGCTGTGGGAAGCCATATATATTGCCTTAATTAGATTAATGTATTGGAGGCAAAGAAAAGGAGAGTGTATTAGGGAGATTGATGATTAGTTGCTTGGTGATGGTGGAAATGTATGAAGGATTTTGAGGGTTTTTTATACTTGAATTTTTGTGACTGTGTTTTGGCGGTGAGTTAATGGATTTTGTGATCTGAAATATTCATTTGCATGAGTGCGTTGGTTTTGCATGCTGAAACAAAGTGGTTGCACATTTAAAGGGAGAATAATGAACCCTCTTCACAAACCAAGAATCAACGGCTATTCAATGCTTCATGTTAGAATGCTGGTGGAATTATATTCCCCAATTAATTAGAATTCTAAGGAAATTATATTTTCCCATGTATGTATGTGACCAGTGGCGGATCTAGCTATGGTCTAGGGTGTGCAGTTGCACACCCTTGATTGTAAATAAATAGAACCGTTATAAATCGGCAGTTGGTTGAGGTGGTAAAGTTATGCCTTCTTTTTTTAATAGGTCCCGGTTCTAAACCCTACCCTCGCAATAATGATTTTTCTTTTGAAATCGTAACATTTTGTCCACTATTTTTATAAAGTGATATTTAATTTTTTTATTCTACAATTTCGAACCCCCTTGGCAAAAATCCTGGATCCGCCACTATATGTGACTTGTCAATGATGTACACATGTGTGTATTACAAAGGGAATAAATAATTCTTTGTTGGTTTTGCGATTAATTGGTATATTTGTTTGGGCCTCTTTGATATAACCCCAATAAACACGGTTATCGGTCGGGTCAGACCCGGACCCGGACCCGACCTGACCCAGACCTACTCCGTTGACCGAGGACAAGGAACCGGACCCGAGTTTGCATGGGTCGATTTCGGTTCTTGTATTTGAGAACCCGACGGGTCTACCTGAGGAACCGATCAGAGGAACCGTCGGGTCCACCCGAATTAATTTATTTTTTTTTTCATTTTAAATTTTGAATATGTAACGGTTATAATCCTAGATCCGAACCGGACCCGGTCAGAAACTTCTATTTTTTTTTTAATTTTCACTGGCCACCCATAACCGACCCGGACCGGAACCCGAACCGGGTCCGTTCCGGCAGAATTCAAAATTTTCATATTGTTTTTTGGGTAAATTGCACTTAACCCCCTTGTGGTTTGAACATTTTGCACATGACCCCCTCATGGTATGAATTTAGGCACATAACCCCCTTGTGATTTTGACATTTTGCACATAGCCCCCTTATGGTATGAAATTAGGCACATAACCCCCATGTGGTTTTGAAATTTTGCACATAACCCCCTTATGGTATAAAATTAGCACATAACCCCCTTGAATAAAAAAATGGAAAAGACTAAATTACCCCTATCAAGTCAAAAGTTCTTATTTTTATTTAAAAATAATTATTCTATAAAATGAAAAGTTTAATGTATTTTTTTGTAAAATGAGAAATATAACATATTATTGTGTTTTTTCTATTTTACCGCACATATATATTTTTTAAATTTAATTTTCATTTCAACTTGAGAGAAATGCTTTTTTTGGATTTTTCCAAAAGAATAAAATAAATAAATATTTTGTTTCTTAAAAAAATTAAATTTCGGTCACAACTATAATATAATAAATTATATAGAAAATAGTAATATAATAATCATAATTAATGACAATGTTAAAGATTTTCAAATTGATTTTTAAAATTAAATAATTTCTCAACCGTACAACAATTAGTATTATAAACCTTTTGTGGTAAAATTAAAAAAACACAATAATATATTATATTTTTCATTTTACAAAAAAATATATTAAGCTTTTCATTTTATATAATAATTATTTTTAAATTAAAACAAGAATTTTGGACTTTATAAGGGTAATTTAGTATTTTCAAGTTTTCTATTCAATGGGGTTATGTGCTAATTTCAAACCATAAGGGGGTCATGTGCAAAATTTCAAAATCACAAGGGGGTTATGTGCCTAATTTTATACCATAAGGGGGTCATGTGCAAAATGTCAAAACCACAAGGGGGTTATGTGTCTAAATTCATACCATAAGGGGGTCATGTGCAAAATGTCCAAACCACAAGGGGGTTAAGTGCTATTTACCCTTGTTTTTTTCAACAGTCAAGATTATCTAACTGTTTGAGATGGAGGGCCAGGATGCATCGACCGTTATACCCGAGCCGAACCTGGCCGGAAGAATTTCAATTTTTTAGGGCTAAATTCAGTTTGCACCCTTAAAGTATAGGGTTGGTAACAATTACCCCTTAAAGTTACAAATGTAACACTTACCTCCCCCATTAATTAATTTAATGGTAAGTCTTTGAATGATGTGACATTTTTTCTTTCCAAAATGTCCTTCTAGCCATTATATAAATAATGAATATGTAATAATAAAAAAAATCAACAACCTTTCAAAAACTTAATTTTACTATTCCCTCTGTTCCACAACAACTGTCATTTTTTAAATGTTACTTTACATTTCCAACACTGCATTAATTGTGTAATTATCAATTTTACCCTTATTAACTATCTCCAACACTCTCTCACATTAATTATTGCCAAGGGCATTTTAGTATAAAAACATATATTTTTCTAAAATTAAGCAACATTTATTGAGATCCTTAATCCTTGTGCACAAGCTAAAAACGACAATTATAAAGGAACGGATGGACTATTTCAGTATTGTAAATTTACGAACGAAAAAATTTGAATTCTAGTTTTTTCTTTTGTTTTACTTTATGTTCATCTATAGTTAATAAAAAGTGTAACAAATATACCATTTTTAATTATGATTTTATAATTTATCTAGTTATTTTAATTAGTATATGACTCTAATAGAATAATCTCACTTTTTACTTCTGAGAATCACAAAAGATATTCTAAAGTTAATAAGAACTCACAATTTGAACGTATAAATATTTAAATATTTTTTATTGTGAAAATTTAAATTGAAGTAACTCAAATAAATTTTTAAATCAATAATTATTATAAAAAAATAGTATGTTTAAGTCTTCTTGAAATGAATATTTTTTGTCTTGCAAATATTTAACGTGATTGAGATTTATATTTATATTAGGGTCATATAGTAATTAAAATGTGGATTTAAACATAAATCAAAATATTTCTTAATAATTATTCTATTTATAAAATTTGTTCTTTTTAAAGATTGTTGAAAGGATATTGTTACATATGCATATTTATACAATAGCTAGCAGGGTACTTTGGGAAGAAAGAATGCCACATCATTCAAAGTCAAAGTCTTACCATTAAATTCATTAATGATTGGGTAAGTGTTACATTTCTAACTTGAAGGGGTAAGCGTTATAAAACTTACAGTTTAAGGGTGCAAACTATATTTAACCCTTTTTTATACCTATAAATACCACCATACCCCCCTTTCTTCTCTCTATTTAATTTTTTTTTTCTTCCTCAAAAATTAAGGCTGATAAATTTCTTGCTTGCTCCCTCAAACTTCACACTCACACATCAAACGCACGAACAAACAATTTTTTTTTATCTATCGAATGAAGGCAGCCCCCCCCACAAATCCTCCCCCCGCCG